GTTTGATGTGGTTAACTGCTACAAGTTTGAATGTGGTGAAGTCACAGGGTATAACATTTCCAGCATTCTACATTTTGTTTTTATTATTCACTTTCGGATGAAATGGTTACCAAAGTGGTTTGAACACATTTATAACATAGCTACTCATTTGTTAAACTAACCATTGCAGTATAATTATCAATTACACAATATGCTGAGTTAAAATGGTGGTATGTGACACATCTGAAGGCTATCAAAATTCATCCCAAAACTTTTCATAATTCACATGATTAAGGAGTGTGTGTGTGGATATTGAAGATTACTTAATCCCCCACACTGCACACTATCCCTCTAACTACAAACAGTAATTTGTCCCCTCCCCAATACCGCAAACTATCCCTCTGACTAGAAACAGTACTGTATCCCCTCACCGACACCTCATCCTGTCTCTCTGACTACAGAATGTCCTGTGTCCCTTCCCCAACACCCCATCCTGTCTCTCTCACTACAGAATGTCCTGTGTCCCTTCCCCAACACCCCATCCTTTCTCTCTCACTACAGAATGTCCTGTGTCCCCTCCCTTACACCTCATCCTGTCTCTCTCCCTGCAACCTGTACTGTATCCCCTCCCCAACACCTCATCCTGTCTCTCTCACTACAGAATGTCCCATGTCCCCTCCCCAACACCTCATCCTGTCTCTGTCACTACAGAATGTCCTGTGTCCCTTCCCCTACACCTCATCCTGTCTCTCTCACTACAGAATGTCCTGTGTCCCCTCCCCTACACCTCATCCTGTCTCTCTCACTACAAAATGTCCTGTGTCCCCTCCCCTACACCTCATCCTGTCTCTCTCACTACAGAATGTCCTGTGTCCCCTCCCCTACACCTCATCCTGTCTCTCTCACTACAAAATGTCCTGTGTCCCCTCCCCTTAACCTCGCACTATCTCTCTCAATACAGAATGTCCTGTGTCCCTTCCCCAACACCTCATCCTGTCTCTCTCACTACAGGATGTCCTGTGTCCCTTCCCCAACACCTCGTCCTGTGTCCCCTCCCCTTAACCTCGCACTATCTCTTTCACTACAGAATGTCCTGTGTCCCTTCCCCAACACCTCATCCTGTTTCTCTCACTACAGAATGTCCTGTGTCCCCTCCCCAACACCACATCCTGTCTCTCTCACTACAAAATATAATGACTATATTCCATCTCCTTATTCTCCACCTTATCATTCTTACAAGCCACCTGTCCTGCTTGTATAAATTATCTCCCCTTGGTTTGAAATCAGATGTCCAAAACTTAAATTCTAACTCATTTTAGGGTCTCCTTTTGCTACCTAAAGGAAAGTATATATTTACTGTCTGTTTGTTCATCGTCATAATTTTGTCCGCAGCATATCAAAAACAATAAGTTGTATTAACATAAAACTTCATAGATAAATAATCTCAACAAGGAAAACTGCAATGCACAAGTACTATCACTATCTTTTGCATAATTTAGGAGTTATTGTCCTTTGCTATTTTCTAAATTTAAATTTTGTTCCATTTGGGGAGCATAACCTGTCTCTGATAAATTCAAGATTCTTAAAACAGGGCCCAGCTGGTCTCCCTACTAATGGTATTCTTGTGTTAAAAATGTGATATAACATATTAATAGAATTACATGTAATCTTTATATGAAAGTATTTTTCTTTCTGTAATTGCAAATATTTGGCATTTCATCTCTGGATGATATCTAGCATACCCGATCACAAACAAAGTTATTTTAAGAAGTTGTTCACGCATGACGATAAGAATTTAAAGATTTTGTTTGATGATAATGTTGGTAACAGCAGTTAAATATGAAGTTATGAAATATTCTTTGATGCGCAAATTCTTTTACGATAATGCATTAAAGTGTATGTAGGAAGAAGGGGGTTTGGTTTCCAGTTTGGGTGTATACAAGAGAAGAGGGATGGGTTAGGTAGGGGGAGAGGGGACTTAGTTAACTTAGAATATTACAGAATCTGATTGAATGTCAAAAGACTCTTTAACTCTCTCCTATATGAAATAGTTATGTTCTGAATATAATTATTTTTAATAGAAATTATTCATTGAAATTAAACAAAAATTGATAACATAGATAAATCGAACTCTTTTTGATTGGAGGAGATGTGTGATGATGTACTATACAGCCTTAATTCTTGCTTTATTTAAGTCAGACATTTTGACAAGGTTGATAAAGGTTTTCACAGTAGGTATGTATCTAGTCTATGATTGTAATAATCATTTCAGTATTTTAAACAGCACTCTTTGTTAAAACTACTGTCCTCATTGATTTGGGCCGGAATTCATAGTGGGTTAAAAATAGACAAGTCCACCAACCTTTTAGAAATAAATATCTGTTAATGAACTGAATATGTATTATGTTTCAACATAGGGTTGATAAGAACCATTATTTTTCCATAACCAATAATATTTACCTTTGTATAAATCAGATATGTAAATTGTTAAGAGGAATTCTGTGTAAATACCCACAGTAGTTAGGAACATGATCCCAGTTTGAGATTGACCACTGGTGTATATATATAAACAAACTGGCCAATCAGAGGCTTCAATTGGTCAATAATCTGCCTATGCAGCTGCTGTATCAGTATGTACATTGACTATAGACCACCAAACATCACTGCAGCATCCAATCCTCTGTGCTTACTTATCAATATTTCCTTAAAGTACAACCTTTCTGTGATACAGGCAGTGGAATATCTGTTCCACATTATGTACAAAGCTCTAGGTTTTAATACAAAACAAACAGTACAATTTGTTACTATGTGTAGTCATATTTATGAGAATGATGTAGGAACACATTTTCATTTTAAACATATGATAATAATTGTCTTGAAAACTGCAAGAAAAAAAATCTTTTTATCTTGTTTACTATTTCATCCGAAGCATTGTATCAAGTATTTATGGATTTCAGCTGTTGTTTGTAGAGCTTTTGTCTCTGACAGTGACCACCATTTTCAGAGTGTGTGGATAATACCTGTCTAAGGTGGCCATCTGTGTAATGTGGTCACTAGTCACTTTATCTAGAGACCACCTGTGCACAGTGATCAAATCATATAAGTCTCTATGTAGGATAGGGAGCAACGACCTACTGTGCAGGGATTCAACAAAATTTAATGTCACGATTTAAATAATCGTCTCTCCCAACTCTCAATAAATTCAAAACTTTGCCAAAGGAATGGTTGATTAATTCATAGTTCAGACAACAAGCAGACCCCAAGTTTACCCAATTCTAAGAAAAACACAGCTATTTTTCCCAATTCTAAGGGCCCTGGGCCCCAGTCCCAAAATGGGGTGTGAGAGCCCTGACAAGTGAGGTTATGAAATGATAGTGACAAGATTTTACAGAAAACTAACACTCAAACACTGACCAGAACTTCCACAGAACTCCTAGATATATCCTGTACTGCTTGTCAACTCACTCATACAGCAGACTTACCTTACAGATATGTGTTCAGATGAGAAATTATCCAGTACTGATTAAAGCTGGTTTTTACTGTTGATAATCACACAAAACCTTCATGATAGAACATGAAGAATCGGTTCTGTTCTGTCATAGGTACAATTTGTCGATGGCTTTAAGCTATAACACTTCCTTGTAAAGCACCAGTGTTGTTTTGACGGAGTATTATGTGCCAGAGAAAAGGATTATATTACAGACGGATCCATTGTATGGTAAATAAATACCTGTACAGACCTGGCGGTTTGGTTTCATTGAGACTTTACACATGGAATTTATATGGGTGAAATTCGCAATGAGTTGACAATTTTATGATGGGGTGTATATATGTGTTGACCTGTCTCATGTTATCTGAGTATACCTGATTCCATACATCATATAAAGCACAGGAAGTTCGAATGCATCCAGAAAACAATATCGTACACAATGTTAAAGAAACGTGATTCAAAATTCCACTTTTTTTTTTGTATTATATTCAACGACAATAAACTTTATCATAATGGGTAATTTTTTGTCTTACATTGCCTTGTGTGTATGTGGCACAGTGTGATATCACAGGAGAATTATCATATCTTAGGAATGTTGACAATAAATCAAAATATTCAGGCACGATATTGACATGAAATGTAAATTTCATCACGGACGTTATACATTTCAGTGTGACGACGACATGTCATCATTTCTTTGACAGCTGTCAGCTTCAAAAGAATTGTCTTTTTTTTTTTTTTTTTTTGTTATTTTTTTTTTTTATGTTTTTTTTCCCCCCTTTCATTTTGGAACTAATTCTAGTAAAATGAAAAAGATCTACTAGAATAACTAACCAGCTATGCAGCCATTCAACCAATTATATGTTCAGAATTATTTTTGTGCATAAAAGACATATTTATTCTAGGGAGTGATTTCAGTGTGATGCAGTTATAAATCAAACATGTGACTGCTGTGTGTTTGGAACATGACAAGAAATTGTTATTTTTTAAGCTGAAACAAATAAACTTAACCAGTATAAAAAAGTAGGTGAATGTTTCAGGTAGGAGTTCTTACTGTATACAGTATTGTGTACTTACCTGTGAGACAGGTAGGTGTTTTATGCATAGTTATTACACTGTAGAAGAATTCAATATCGGTAAGGTCCTCTCCGTGATAGTACAGTACAGAATATGTATATAGAGACATTCAGTCAACCAGAATACAGTAGGTGTGTAGCCTGTGTACCTATCGATAACATCAGAACACTCTAAGGTAGTGACATGCCTGAATGCCTGTTATGATGGCTGCAGCAATTCCACTATAATCCGAAAGTTCTACTTTGACCCATAAAGCACTGATAGTACAGTATCATATCGTAATCCAATAACCCACCAGTGACAAAAACGTATTCCCAATTCTTTTTGAAATTATGATATAAAAAGCGTATGATACACATATTTACAGTTGGTAAATGGTAATAAAGGTTAAGTGCATAGATTATGATCAACACAAGTATGTCTACAGTCTACACTTACGAGAGATAGTACTTACTTCAAGTATAGACGTAAATTTTAACTTCCAGTACTGTGTGGCAATGTAAATTCCAGGTTATTTCATCGAAGATATTGAAATGGACAAATCAATCCCTAACTCCAATTTGGTCCTTTACAATGAGTGGCAAATCAAATTACAATAAATAATGTGTTTAAGGATTTTGTACACTTTCTGGAATGTTGATATTGTGGCACTGTCATCACAGGTACTAGACAACAATATAATCCAGGTACTGTGACAGAACAGCTTGAGATCATCCTTTGGTCCTACCTTAAATCTCCTTCGTCATCATCACAACTGAACATATCACTCCTGACCGCCACATCAGTCCTATTAAAACCTTTAGCCTTTGAAGGTTATGGTCGGCCCTGATGCCACTGTTTATCCTAGATAGGGCCTGGTTTGGGTATGGTAGACAACCAGAAAGCCTGTGTTTATACTGTTGAATTCTGTGTTGAAATGCCAACTGCAGATTGTTTCTAGCAAGCCAACGTCAGTACTGTAGAGAGATGTGTAGTCAAAGGGCTGGCTATCTCTACCATTATATATACATAACAATGTGTATTGTATAGATAGTTTGCGTTATAGGTAACATGGAACTAATTAGATATACAGGTGAATGAGTAACCTTCAGGTGTAATGAATGGCTTACTAGTTTAATATCAAATTAATTCAGAAATTTCTTGTTCATTATTTCTTCGCTGTAATTCTACGAAATATATAGCCACGTTATTTAAGGAATGTGTGAACGTGATGTTTCATCATTTGATTTGAAAGATTTGCTTTGTCATAGATAATTGACATAATGTGATGGGTCACTGAATGAGAAATTGGACTTTAAATTGAGGTGAACTTGTGGTTCAACTTCACAGGCTGTTGTCAATTATGTGGATGTAACTGCCAAGTTACCAGTACTGGGGGTGGGCTGTGAAGTATTACCCCTGTCCATCCTGTCGAGTCCCATCCCAAAGTTATAAAACAATACACTGGAAATGTTAATTAAGGCTGTATGGAAAAAAATGTATCATTACATGTATGTAAGTTATTCATGACCTTTATAACAAGCCTTCAACATTTTAAATTCTGATCCAGGCTTGTAAATCAACGAAGGATATGTGTTTGAGACGATATTTAGGTAGAACTTGAATCTATTTGAACTGAAGTTGCTTGAAGCAGGTCATGAAAAAAAATATTGTTAAAAAGTAATGTGAGACATTCAGGATGGTGAGGTAAATTATGATACATGTTAAAAAAATCTGTAGTTAATAATCAAAATATTTCAGACATTGTGAATGCCTAGATACATGCAGGTATATAATATCTAGGCTACATATAGGTATAATGAAATTGTCAGTGACCTGTTGGTGACACTAAACAGCCCACCTGTTTACAAAGCTATTTGTTTCACAAGATGACATAACCAATGTTTCAATACTGTTATATCTTATTTACATACTTGACCAATGGTCACACCACATTTCACTGACCATTTCCTGTCTGTACAGGAAATATTATTCACCATGTGATTGACATGAATATCGAGATATTAATTTACCTGACCGAGAATCATACTTACCTGAGGATGACAGGTGTGTTGATCAGATGGAGCTGCTTGGAGTAGTGTGTAATACCTAATATGCAGTAGTCTGTAAAATTATGTAAATTTTTCGCTGAACACTGTAAAATCTTCATGAGATAGTTTATTCAGGGCAGTAGATATCTGCCTGCAATAAATATATGTTACAATGAATGGTTGTTATGAAGAAAAAAAAATGAAAAAAAAGGTTATGATGGGTTTGGAAAAGACAGTTTTGATTACAGGTAGATACATAAATGTATAAAGAAGGGGAGATAACTTTTACAGTCGGTGTTTGGAAAATAAACAAGGTAATGATGGAATTTCTTGGTAAATATTCACAAATAAGGGAGACTAATTCTTTAGTGATTACAATTAAATAATTGCAAATAAAAGGAATCTATATTCTATCATAAAATTGATTAATATTCTAAATCAACAAATAAAAGTATGATAACGGTGATAACATTAAAACACATAATTGTTTGGAAAATAAACAGCAATATGGTGATGATCAGTGCATTATATTAATAGTTAAGGGGAGGTAATCGGGAAAATATATTTATAAGTATTTAGGAAATAAACATGAACATAATGATAAAAGGTAAATAATCATTGAAATTCAAGGGAGATAACTTTTGATGAGTATTGAATAAATCAAATAATAGTATTTGATCCTTTCTTGCTATGAAATCATAACAGGGAATAAAAAAGTTGATATTTTTGAAAGTATGTATACTGGTGATTCTCAAACACAGATTTATTAAATTCTCTGTTTGATAAGTAGGGGAGATAATTGTTATTGACTGTGTAAATTTCAGTCTGCAGCGATAGAGAATGGTTTTACTACCCTAATCTCTGTAATGATAAATAGGCTTATCACAAGACTTTAAATCTTCTGAAAGAAAGTTTAGGAAAACTATTTATCATATGATATAGTATTCCTTCTTGTCTTATGTTATTACCTTGCTTTATAAACAGTAACATTTTGATGGGTTTTTTTTATTATCACTCTTTTTTTTTTCTTGCTATATTTATGTGATACTTTTGAAAATTACACTGTGTGAAAAATGTTCTTCCTGTTAAAAACCCATTAAACACCAGGACTTCCTGGTGTGCATGAAATAAAGCCATCACTGCCCTAGATGTTTTATAACAGATGTCAAAATGCTATACTCACGTAAAGTCAGGGTGAATTTAATTCTTTGTATGTGTCTTTATTTGCTTTTTTTAAATTGCGAATTATTTAATGCTAATTGGCTCTGAACTAACTTTCACATCATTTTAAGTCCTCATGTGTTTTTACTAGTTGAGTGAACCTTACTCATTAAGAGAATCAGATTTCTACAGGGATCATTGACATCATTTTTTAAAAATCGGGCAAGGGATAAAAATACATTAAATTATACCTTTGGTGCAATTTCTTGGATGGAAAATGTCAATATGATGTTGATAAAAAAAAATTTACAAAATAGGTGGTATTAGGGCCTTATTTAACATTATCATTGTACAATTTTTGTACCCATTATGTGTTATTTTTTAGATATATGAATCAGTGATTTCAGTTCAATAGATTTTACCAAATCAGACAATAAGGTAATCAGAGAAGTTAAGGCGTATAGGTAGTAAATCCTTTTTGTTAAAACTGGTTTTGTTTACATGTTTGAGCTTCTTACATACAGTGAAACATGGATAAGTTGACGGGACCAAATGAAATATTCGACTTATCTGATGGTTTGACTTACCCGTGTTTCTATGAATGGAGACATTTTGCATCGAAGATTCACCCTATTTTCATTAGTTTACTGGATACGTGACTCGTAGCATGGCGTGACAGTAATGAATGAGTAATATATAAAGGAATACATTTCGTAATTCTGTACACTTATAATATCTGTTAGCTAAACATACAGTTATAAGTACATTTACATCAAAAACTGATATGTGAAACACTTGTCATTGGATTGCAACACACCTGCGGATACACATCCACTCTCATACACATATCTTAGGGAAATCAATATCGAAAGTGATACAAATATTGAACTCACATTTATATCCTTAACAGTAACATGTCCCGTCAACAATTTTAACACAAAACTCAATAATTACATACTCATTAACATTCTCCATTGATATAAGATCAATAGCACTTACGTGAGTTACAAAAAGTTGAATGCCGCGCAATGTCAGTGAAGCATAACTTTACATGAACAGCATGGTAAGAGTGAAACTACAGTATAGAATCTAATAAAACATTGTACATTTATATCTGGTAAATGTATTTAAAATCATAAATAAATGTGTCAATGACAAACTAGTATTTTTATTAATCTGCATTGGGGCAGCATTTACCACTTATTTTCTCCTTTTGGTTTCCGAAAGCCATGCACATAAAAAAAAACAAAAAATAACAACAACACTGTAGATTTATGGTTAAAAAACAAAGTGTATCATGTTTTAAGTTTGGTTGTCTAATTCCGTATAAGTTCTAACTGTGTAAATGGAGGAATTAATGTTAAAACAAAAGTTACAATAGATCTCATTAACACAGATTCAGCTGACCAATCACATTCAGTTATTTAGACCGCAGTCAGGAAACTTTTACCTGAGACAAGATGATGCTGGAAAATTCGACACAAACAAGGAAATTTTGATAGAATTTAGAACGAATGGATGACAAGATATAAACGCAATATTCGACTCAACAGTGCTAGAATCATCCATGTTTAATTAGCTTAGATGAAGAAGAGAAAAAATTGGTACCGAACAAAAAATTCAACTTAGCTGATGTATTTGATTGAAGCCTGTTCAACACAAGCAAGATTTACTGTATGTTAGTTTCTGTTTAAAGACATATTGATCTACATCAAGATCTTGAAAAGTCTGCAACACTCTGTGTAGTCAATACTTCTTCAGTTTGATTTGTAATAAGCTGAAAAAAAACTAAAAATACCCTTATGTTTTAGAGAATGATGATTTCTTAGTTAGCCTCTTTATTTTCATTTTCCCATGATTCCCGAAATATCTCGGTATTTGTTATAGTCTGGTTTCACTGAGGTGAGTCCAAAAATTTACGTGTATATTAGAGTGTCCAGATTATATGCCTTTTAGAGTGTTCAAAATATCTGTGTATGTCAGACGGTGAGAAATATCTGTGTATGATAAAACGTCCACAGTATCTGTGTATGTAGAGTGACCCCAGTCATAGGTATGGGTGATGGGTCTGATACCTCATCAATCATCACTGACGCAAGGAAATCAGAAATGTATCATTAGTGAGATAATTAACGTAGTTATCAAACATTATTGGTCTCCGATCTGTAGACTTGTAGTAAGTGTGTATGGGTGATATTCTGTCTACTCTGTAGACTTGTAGTTAGTTTGTATGGGTGATATTCTGTCTACTCTGTAGACTTGTAGTAAGTGTGTATGGGTGATATTCTGTCTACTCTGTAGACTTGTAGTTAGTTTTCTGTAGACTTGTAGTTAGTTTGTATGGGTGATATTACTCTGTAGACTTGTAGTTAGTTTGTATGGGTGATATTCTGTCTACTCTGTAGACTTGTAGTCAGTGTGTATGGGTGATATTCTGTCTACTCTGTAGACTTGTAGTTAGTTTGTATGGGTGATATTCTGTCTACTCTGTAGACTTGTAGTTAGTTTGTATGGGTGATATTCAGCTCAC